ACCATCACTCAACAGCTCGCGCTCACCTCAAAGTCCCTCGACGCCGCACACGCAGAGACGACGGAGCTCGTCAAGTCGGTGGATCAGCAGGCCGCGTCCGTCGCGTTCGCGTTGAAGGAGATCACGGACACGTTGGCAACGCTCAAGGAGAGCGACGAACTGCGGGACCAGGAGATGAGGGATCTGAAGGCGGATGTGGACGGAGTGAGGGAGATGATTCCGCAGGTGAGCGGCAGAGAAAGCTTCGCACATGTTCGACTGGAGATGTTGGTCATACATGCAGGAAGATATTGACTTTTGGCCGGTTCTCGCTGTGTGATCAGGTCCTGGACCGGAGCAGAGAGTCCCAAACGACCGTCATAGCGGACCTCCAGGCAGAGATAAAGTCCTTGAAGAACCTCCTGCTGAACCGTAGTCTCCCCACTCCTTCCGTCCCGGCATCCCCGTCCGGATCCTCCTCGTCCCTCGTCGATGACGGCCTGCCGCCGCCTCCCGCACCGCTCTCCCAGCGAGGATCGTTTGCGGCAGGGAACATACCCTCGAAACCTACGATACCGGCGTGGCAGCTGCAGCAGAAGACTCCTGCAGCAGCTACTGCGACCGCCGGGCGGGCAAAGTCGCCCACGAAGGGAGGAGGACTGGAGAAGGGTAGTGACGAAGCAAGTCTTGGTAGTGCGTGATACATGATAACGCCCATCGGAATACACTTAGATTAGAGTGCCGGAATCTACGTTGTCCTATGGCATAGGCGATCACCTTCTTGGATGACGCTGCACAGCCACGGCCCACGGTGTTTTCCATCGGCCTTCCCGTCTTTCTGTTGTAGTTCTTTTGTTTTGGGGGGCGAAGTCTTCCTGTGGGGGGAAAAGGAAGTAAAGGCAGACGAGAAAGTTTCGCATCGATAAAAGTGTACATGTACTGTAACTGTACAGTAGATTCTGTAGAATCGATTTTGGATGTACCGTACACATTTTGGAACGAAAACGTGAGGTGCACGCTCTGGTGGCACTTTACACGGCCGCCCCGCCCCGCCTTGCCGCTCGACAGACCGACACGCCTCTTCTCTTCCAAAAATCCAAGAACCGCCCGCTCCGTCTGTGCTCGCACGGCGAGGTCGATAAGATATCTGAACAACAATCTGTGACGCTCCCAGGCCGCTTCAACCTACCTGCCCTGGTCCCCAGCCGAAGCCCAAGAGCGAAGGAGGAAAAAGAAAAAAGCAGATCGAAAGAACCATATCGCATTGGCAGAATAGCCAAGGCGCTTTACATGGGAAGCGCTCGGGAGATGCTGTAACGTCGCGTAATGCAGCTTTTTTTTCTCTCTCTTTTGGATCGATGCATTTGCAAAGGCCATCTCCCGTCGGGAAACAAGATGCTTTATCTCTCCGTGCGGCCTGGTCTCGTATTCTTATAAAGGTCCAGTCGTGTGAGGTTCCGTCTCTGTTCTGCAGGGCTCAACTCATCTACCCATTCCCATAATATCCACCTGCATACCCTTGTCCTCTATACCAATGAAGCTTCTCTTCGTTTTCTTCACGGCCTTAGTCGCCATGACCTGCCAAGCCGCTCCCACCGCCTCGCACCTAACGATCCGCGACGACTCGAACGTCGTCGTCGAGCCCGGATTCGGTGCTCTCGATGGTGTCTTGACCGTCAACGTCGACGTCCTTGCAACGGGCATCGGCAGTAACGTTTACGTTATCTACAGCGACTTCCGGGTATGCTGTGCCTCGGCATTTGCTTTATCATACTCTCGAAGGCGAAAAGTCTCACCCTTTGATCATATTCTTAGGGCTGGTGGGACGACGAGTATGGTCGCCAGACGATCAGCGCCAATTACTCTCGTCCGATCCCCAACACCGACCACGAGGTCTGGACCGTCAAGACGCTTCTTCAACACGATTTGTCGATCCATTCCTTTTACGTACGATACGACACAGCTGATGGCCGGACTTTCTACGCCAACAACGGGGGTCAGAACTTTATCGTCGTGCCGCAATTCACTGTGCCTCCGTACACGCCTTCGGTCCCTACTCCTACCGGTACTTCTACCGCCACCGCTGTTGCCACGGTGGTGGAAGCGATCAAGAGTGGTGCTGGGAAGCCACGTCGAGACGGACACCTGGGGTAGACTTCGTTTTTAGAATCTCAGTTTGAAAAATGCATAATGAATTTTGACGTTTGCGTTCCCATTTTGTCACAGCATGACTGCTGACGTCGGCATCTGTGAGCCGATGACACCTGCATGGTCGCCCAATGTCGACTTGATCGATACCAGTGACTTTTATACGGACGGAAAGCCCGATGGCGGATGGTTCGTCACCCCCATTCATGCTACGCTACTTGAAGACGGAAGGGTAGGTCTCCTCTGACTGCACGATCCCGCGCCCAGATCGGGCAGCTCACATGCCTGCCTCGTAGATGTACATCGTCGGCTGGTCTCGGAGCGACTACGTCAACTGCATCGCACCCAACGGTACCCGCAAGCACGGCGTGTCGTTCATCCTCAACTCGACCTCCATCATCGATGCCGGTACCGTCGCTCCTCCGCCTACTCCGTCTCGAAACCCCACTCTCGTCATCCCGACCCCGTTTGCCGACCAACGGGTCCTCCCGGCCGACACTCTCTACTGCTCCGGACAGGTCCCCCTCCCGGACGGACGCATCTTCGTCGTAGGTGGTGCAACGTACCAGAACCTTGGAGAGCCGAACGAGGTGGAAGTTGGTCTCAGCTACGCCCGAATCTTTGACCCCGCTACGGGATCCTACACCGTGACTCCCGACGCCCCCATCGGCACGATGTGGTATCCGACAGCCGCGAGACTCGTCAACGGAGACGTGCTGGTCACGGGAGGGTTCAAACAGTGTTGCGAGGGGGACCCTCAATCGAACGACAACCTAGCTCTTTACCACCCTTCCACCGACTCGTGGACCGCCATAGGGAACGTCGCGGGAAACGTCATCACCCCTGGCATCAGGGACTACACCCACGTCTTTGTCCTTCCGAGACCCGTGATCGTGGACGGTCTGGACCGTCACGTCGCTTTGATGGGATACAAGGGTCTCCTCACATACTACAACACGGACGTCGGCACCCTCGACGCGGCGAGGTCGGCATCGGCTCCCAACGACGATCGCTCCACGTCGGGCAGCTCCATGGCCGACGATTCGACAGCCTTCTGGAGCCCCGACGGCGACATGGTCACGATGGGAGGCGGATCCCAGCCCTGGAAGCTCGACATGTACGATCCGACGCACTCCACGTGGACCTCCCTCGACGCGACGTTCAGTAGGGACAATCCCGCGTCGGTGCTCCTACCCGATGGAACCGTCCTTCTGCTGAACGGTCAGAACCGGTTCGATGCCACCCAGGTCCCGCCACCGCAACTGTACGATCCCTTGACGAGATCCCTCACCACGTTGGACCCCTGGACGGACGATCAGACGTTCAGAGCGTACCATGGCTGGGCGTTGCTCCTCAAGGACGGTCGAGTGGCCGTCGGCGGCGGCGTCGATGGGAAGGGACATTCCATCGGTTGCGAAAGGATCGACGTTCGGATCTTCACTCCGCCTTACCTCCGCAGCAGCAGCGGCGGCGGAAACGCGACCTGCGTGACCCGTCCCATCGTATCCACCGTCTCGGACGGTCCCATCACGTTTTCCGCATCGACGACGACGGACGGCAGCGGCAACCCGACCACGACGGTCACGTTCTCGAACGCGGATCTGAGACAGGTGCGAGGTGCGGCGTTGATGGCGCTGGGAAGCTTCACGCACTCGTTCGATCAGAACCAGCGGTACCTGCCGTTGACTGTGGAGAGCGTGGTGCAGCCCAGTCAGAGTCGGGACGGCTACGGAACCGTGACGTTGAGCGTGCCTGTCGGGGAGATCGTGCTGGAGGGAAGCTGGAACCTGTTCCTGGTGGGCGCGGATGGTACCCCGAGCCAAGGGGTCAGCGTGAGGGTTGTCTCGTCGGCATGAAGGCAGTACTTCCAACCTTTTTCGATCGCCGTGAGGAACGCTCGTCGTTTGCACAATACATAGAACTTGGATCCCTGTCCCGTGGGAAGAAGAATCTTTGTCCTCACCCCTTCCTTCCTTTCCCCGGAGCGTCAACGTTCAGCGATATTGTCCATCCCCCGCTTCATGGTGCCTTCTCGTGCATCCACCTTGACGGGTGCTCCTTCATAAGGCAACCCAGCTGTCCATTTTCGCTCCTTCCGGCTTCTGACCTTGTGGCCTTCTGGATGGGGACGGGGATGGAGCCGATGCCGCGGGGACGGGTGCGAGCACGAGGACGAGTTTTAGGGAGGTTTTCGAAGTGATGGAGACCGAGGGAAAGGAACATGGGAGAGAGCAGTGGGGCGTGGGACCCTGGAGGAGGTGTTTGTGAGGATCATCGGAGTCGGCGGTGAGGATGCTGATGAGTGGTGGCGGGAGGGCAGGAAGGTGAGGGAACTTCTAATGCGACGATATCTTGTATATATTTTTGGTGGACGAGGGACAATACAGTAGAGATAGCTATGTTTATGGTATGCGCGTTGGATGCCCTTGATGTGCCGATGCTTTTTTCCCGGGACATGCTTTTCCAGAGAAGCGGGTTCGCCGCTGTCCGCCTTTCGACTGCCAGGAAGCGAACCCACATTCAATACGCTTGAGGTTTGAACCTTCTATCCTCTGCAGATGTACGTCCATCATGATCTTGTTTTCTCACAGTGACTTGCCTTAGTGGAATGCGCCAAATCGGAAACCCGACAATCCGTAAGAAACGCCGACCAAGCAAACGCTTCACGCTGATGCGATCCACAACCGACAAGAAGCTCATATCCAATTCAACAGTACACGGACACACGATGCGCCTTAAAGATCATCCCTCATCCCTCGCCCATTCAACATCATCACCCGTCAACGACACTCAACCCACAACCATCAACACCACCAACCCAACCCATTCCGTCGAGAGCAAAACGAATCACTTTACTACAATCGGCAAAAGTGTACACCCATCCAGGATTGAACTGGAGACCTTCTCGGTGTTAACGAGATGTTATAGCCAACTAAACCATGGGTGCGGAAGTTAGGAGGGTGGGGAGGGTGCAGACCATATGACAACGTTGCTCCCAGGAGCCCGACGGCGAACCATCCGGTCCCATGCCGCTCTTCTTGTAGAAACACCATTCAACGTGCGCTGATATAGGGAAGGGAAGGGTCGAGAAGGTGCCAAATGGGGACAAACGTACAGTACGACGGCGAGAACAGAAAGGGCGTAATAGTAAAAAAAATTGGGTGTCAGGAAACGGTGAAGCCGTCGCACTGTCGGAACCTTAAAACCCTAAAAGCAAAGGAAAAGGCTTCGTTCTTCATCCGCGCCTCTTTTGTCTAAATCAACAGCGACCTGTTCGGGGAATGAGGTCATGTCACTCGGGGGGCCAAGAAAAAAGGCTCCCCCCGTCCCCATTGCAGACCATCCCCATTGCAAACGTCAGCTTGCGTTTGGGAAGGCAGAGTGCCAGTGGTAGCCACGTGAATCCTAATACACAGCAAGGAATCGTAGAGACCCCGCCTCAATGCCTCAGCAGTCTTCCAGCGACGTCGAGGAGGCACGGCCTCTCCTGTCGGACAGGTCATCATCCACCAGGAGAGGAAGCAACCACTCGGCGTCCTCCTCCTCTCCATCCATCGCTGCTCGACGACGTGGCTCGAACGGTCTCCACGGTCTCCTCGGAGAGCACGAGGCAAAGGAATGCTACGACAAGTGAGAGGCTGCCCCATTGCCTCCCCCCAACCCCCCAACTCACCTCCCAGATCCTTTTCTCCAGGGCCCTCCAACTCGCACGCGACACCGTAACCGAACCCCTCAAACCCGAGCTCCTCTCGGACGGTGACGCGATCATCACCGACGACATGCTCCACGACCTCCACTCCCTGTCCCGTCGAGCTTGCGTCTACGGCTGCATCGCAGCCCACCGCATCCTCTCCGAAAGGGCCCGCCGGTCCATCCACAGGACCGACCTCTTGCGCTCCAGGGCTCTCTTCTGCGAGACCATGGCCGTCAGGCTCGTCGAGAAGATGGCAGAGAAGAAGGTCGGGAGGGAGGAGCTCTTCGTCGAGGTCCTCACCCCGCTGTTCACGAGCCTCCAGGACGGTCACAACGAGGAGTCGCGTGAGTGAACTCGAGCAGTGGACTGCCGAGCGAAGCGAGGCGAGGCCAGGATAAACACCGAGCGGAGCGAGGTTCTCCTGCACGGCCGCGCGAAGCGCGGCAAGAAAAAAGAATGCCGAGCGGAGCGAGGCGAGATGACGTACCGAGCGAAGCGAGGTCCTCCTGCATGGCCGCGCGAAGCGCGGCAAACCAAAGACTGCCGAGCGAAGCGAGGCGAGATGGCGTACCGCGCGAAGCGAGGTCCTCCTTCGTTGGCCGCGCGAAGCGCGGCAAGAAAAAAGAATGCCGAGCGAAGCGAGGCGAGATGACGTACCGAGCGAAGCGAGGTCCTCCTTGCATGGCCGCGCGAAGCGCGGCATGTTTACATCTCGCGCGAATCTTACATCATCCGACGCTCAAGCATGAACTTCCTCTCTTTTTCCCACGCTCATCGATGATCTTCGTTTTATTTTTATTCATTTCCCACAGCCCTCCAGGTCGCGGTCGAATCGGACGCCGTCCAGTTCATCAACTCTCTGACCGTCCAACAATGCGTCGAGTACATCTGGCGAGGACTCCTCGTCCCTCGACCGTCCCTCGACATCAAGATGGACAGCGAGGACGGAGACGGATACGTCCAGGGATACCAGTGGCCGGAGGAGATCCAGGTCGGATTCCGAGCCCTTCCCGAAGGTCGTCTCGGAGTGCCCCTCTACCGATACGCGGCCGAGACGGCCTTCAGCTTCATCCTCCTGGCCGTCTTCACGTTCGTGGTCAACTATCGAACGCCCGAGTTCAACGCCTTCGAGCTTCTCATGTACTTTTTGGTCCTGTCGTTCGGATTCTCCGAGATCAAGCAGTTCTGTGCCCAGGGTTTCGACTTCTACTTTCTTACCTTGGTATGTGTCGTTCCGTCGACGGGCTTTTCCAAGCACGGAGCGTTCGTCCCGTCTCGCTCATCATTGAATACTATGCATCACTAGTTCAACGGGATTGACGTCATCAGCATGACCATCTTTACTATTGCGTTTGTCTTTCGGTGCTACGGGCAGTGGATCGGCAGCGACCAGATCCTCGACGGACCCAACGACATGGCCTATGATCTGCTTGCCTGCAACGCCGTGTTTCTGTGGACGAGGGCCATCCACGTGCTGGCTGGGTGAGGCATTTCATCTGTGATAATGACACGTGGAACCCTGCATGTCTGATATGCTGTCCTTCCTCCTGCCAGATTCCGATACTTTGGAGAAATGGTCGTCATCATTCGATCCATGATGAGGGACGCCGCCTACTTTTTCATCATGTTCTCGTTCGTCCTCGTCGGTTTCGTCCAAGCGTTCGCTGGTCTCGCTCGTGCCACGCCGGCCGAAGGACCTGGTTTCGGAAAAGGCATCTATCTGCTCGCAAAGGCTTTCCTCCAGTGAGTTTTCAACCATACCCGGTTTCCGATTCCCTTCCCACCTCGCGGGGTGACTCAAAACGTCTCCCCCTTTCGCGTTTTTCTCCAGATCCCCAGACTTTGACGAAGCGGAAGGCATGCACGACGTCCTCGGTCCACCCCTCCTCATCTTCTTCATGGTCCTGGCGTCGGTGATCATGCTCAACATGCTCATCGCCTTCTTCAACCAGTCCTACACGGTGGTGGTGGAGTCGGCGTCCCAACAGCACGTGTTCCAGTTCACGGTCAACGTCCTGGGCATCTACCTCGACGCGACCCGATACCCGTTCATCTCCCCGACCAACCTCCTCGAACCCTTCCTCTACGTGCCCCACCTCGTCCTCTCCGAGGCCAGGTACCTGGACCTGAGGAGGTGGGTCTGGATCGCGGCGTGTCTGCCGGGAAACCTGGCGATCGCGGTCGCCGAGGAGGTGATGCCGAACACGACGGCGAGGATCTACAAGGTCAAGGAGGACAGGGAGTTCGAGGAGGAGCAGAAGGAGGAGGCTGGGAGGAGGGAGGAGGACGGGCAGGATCAACCTGTCGAGAAGGACGCCGGGAGGAAGGCGGTGGAGAAGGAAGGGGATGGGAAAGACAAGGGTGAGCGAGGGACCGGGGGAGAGAGCGATGGCGTTCAGGCGACGCTGAGGAGTCTGGTGGATGAGATCAAGGCGTTGAGGAAGGAGGTGGATGGGTTGAAGAAAACGAAGGGTTCGTAGGGAGACCCCGGCTTTTATGGGTTGAGGCGTACACACACACACTCCCATCGTTGTCTTTTCCAATCTGCACGTTCGTCCATCTTCATGTACACTTCGTCCCTATCATGGATCCTCTGGTTTTCCGGAACGGGGTCTCGTTTGTGAAGGTCGGACGCGTGGAGTCTGATTAGTGGTTCTGCGAGACTAATTACAAAGGGTTGGGGGTGTGCGGAGATGCGGGCGATCGATCGATAGCAGAGAAGGAAACGGTCCTCAAAATAATGACCCAGAAAGGGGGTTAAAAGTGGGGGATGTCGAAGCTCTGCTCCTCGTCCCACTCTTTTTTCTTTTTTTTTTTTTGATCGGTTTTCAAGCGGTGGCCTCGAAGGTAGGGAAGCAGGTCTTGAAGTCCTTTCCGACGTGCTTGTTGGTGACGTGTTCCTCCAGAGCCTTCTGACGGATCGTCATGAGGAACGTCTGTCTGCACACCGAGCAGATGGTCGTCTTTGCCGCTTCGTTCTGAAGGAAACATTTCAACAAAATTGGTCGGTGCAACAAGGATGGACAAGGGGATGAACTGACCTGCTTGGTCTGTGACTTTGCTGTTCCGCCTGCCTTTGCTGCGTTCTTTGCTCGCGCCATGGCCGACTTTTGTGCCTGTTTGCGGGAAGAGTCCAGGGCGGTCAGGGTAATGGTTCAAGCGACCATGAAGCACTGAAGAAAGAAAGTCCGTCGTGGCAAACAGTAATAACGTACGTTTCCTCCACCCATGATGAAGATGTGCTGTTTGGCTTGGTCGGTCGGGAGTGTAAGGGAAGGAGGTTCAGGACGAGCGTGGGAGCGCGACGGTGACAGAGGATGCTACGCGATGGAGGGGATGCCGATGGGGTACGAGAGAGAGAGAGAGAGAGAGAGACGGAATGTCAAACAAAAAAAAAAGAGAGAGAGGAAAACGGGAAGAAAGCGTCTCGTTTTCTTTTTTTTCCCCTTCCCGCCTTGTTCCGCGAGGCACACTCTTTTCGGACCCGTGGCGGCACTTTTCGGACATCGTTCCTACTGTATCGTTCGCACCCGGGGGCGCAAGCAAAACTACATTGACAAAGTGAACCAGAACGTCCCCCAAATGTCCCTCTCGATCGACCGCACCCAGGTCCTCAGGCTGTACCGCAGGCTACTCGCATCTTCGAGGTAATAAATCAAATTACTCTCGCGTCCCTCGAAAAGAGCGACTGGCACAAACCACCCTCCAGTCTTCAAAAGCTCAGAAGCTCAAAAGAAAAAGCTCACACTCTTCTTTCCTCCCGTCGCTAAAAAAAGAACGCTCCGCTACACCGACAAGGACTACTACCGTCTGCGTGTGAGGGAGGCATTCCGAGCCAACCAGGACGTCGTGGATCCGACACGTCAGCAGAGGCTGTTCAAGGTGAGGGGCGATACTGGACGGAAAGAGACTCGACCGTCTTTTACGAAGGACCCGCTTCGTTAATGCTGGTTTTTCCATCTCTTTCAGCGAGGAACGTTCATCTTGGAGAACGAGATGGGAGGATTGATGTGAGGAAACAAAAGAGAAAGGAGAAAACCGAATCGTCTGACGAAAGAGGGTCTTTCGAACGGAGTACCTGGACCAACTCCATATGACATGGATGGGGTGCGACGCGGGAAATGAGAGAAACGGACGGAAGGATGGTGGAGGGGGACACGTCTGCTTGGATCCAAGGCACTTCCATGCGGTTCTCCTACGTTCGCCCCTTCGCCCCGGCTGACGGCTACTGCGGTGGGTGGTCACGACTGATG